TTCTGACCTGGATAAGGTATATTCTGACCTGGAAGGGGTATATTCTGGCCTGGAGGGGTTTAGTCTGGCCTGAAAGAGTATAGACTGAACTGGAGGGGGTACATTCTGACCTGGAGAAGGTACATTTTGGCCTGGAGGGGGTATAGTATGGTCTAGGCTATTTTACACTGCCAGATGCAGTCTTTGCCGGATGTATTCTTGTTTAGCAAAGACTTTAAAGACTTTCCATAATTCATCTTTTTGTTTCTTTGACGACACCACAGACCATGAGGTTGGTCATGTTTACAATTTTTGGTTGAAAATAAAAAGTTACCAAATTATGATTTTTACTGTAAAACGTGCTGCTGATTGAGAATCAGTTCCATTCTGACGGATGCTCCTGAAAAGTTAACCAGTGCAGAAGTTTTCTGATGTTCCTACCTCTCTCATGATGTTGGGGGGCCTCTCCGTGCAGGACGCACGCTCCCATGTCTATCTGGTTCAGAAGGGCGGGGCACAGGTAGCTGAAGTCTTCCAGGACGACACCCACTTCCTGAGACAACCCATGTGAGGCGAGGAGGCTGGAGGCGTTCAGGCACTGCATGGAAAATACAAACACTCAGAAACCCGATCAGAGTTCCTCCACGGGATTCACAAAACCTTACGTGTCGTACCGGGATCTGGTCCATGCTACGGTTCTGGGAGTGACCCTGGTTCAGAGGCTTGTGAATATCATGGTTGTGGTCATCATGATCATGATCATGATCATCATCATCATGATGATCATCATGATCATGATCACCCGCTCTGCTGAGTGGGACCATTTGAGTCTGACTACCCATAAAGACTCTGGCTGCAGTGACTGGGGTGGCCTCCTTTCTGGTAGAATCTGACTGATCAGAACTCCTGGCTTGTGGTACCAGTACCAACCGGGCGCTGTTTACCACCGTGGTTCTGACCTCCGGAGCAGATGACACCGTCACTGTGGGTTCAATGTTCTGCAAGTGGTGCTCACTGTCTGAATCCTTGGTCCGGTTTTCAGAGGGTTTTAAAATCTTCCTGGGGTCAGACCGGTTCCCGTGTTGCAGGTGGCCACCATTATGGTGGTGATGATGATGGTGACCTTCATGGTGATGATGGCCTGCTTGCTCACGATGCTTCACCAGAACGGTTCTGATGCGATCGAGCCCCACGCTCTGGAGGAGACGCTTCAGACCATCCAGAGAGATGGAGCCATTTTCTCCGTACCTGATTGGACCAAAATCATGAAGAGTCAAACTTTTAATTGGCTTTTGGGACATTTGAGACAGAATGATGAGATGAAGATTCATCTTGTTCTTTTAGTGCATTCAGGCTGAAAACAACAACACTTTAGAAAGACTGTCAAACATAAACAGGTTATATATATATATATATATATATATATATATATATATATATATATATTTATATACATATACACACACACACATATATACACACACACACACATATATATATATATTTATATACATATACACACACACACACACACACATTTAAGTGAAGTTGTTGAGCTGCCTGCATTCATGTGGGACTGCTGCAAGATACAGAAATAATTATTTATTAGATTCTTGAAAATATATGAGATCTCGCTCTACATATTGATTGACAGCTGCTATTGATTATGACTTCATAACTCTTTTCATGCCTTTTCAGCAGGTCGAAGCAGATGGTCCTCTTGTCCTGATCCTGGTTCTGCTAAAGGTTTCTTCCTCATGAGGGAGTTTTTCTTTCCACT